TTGTAAGACCATATTTTCCTCATTTTAGAGATGAAGACAAAAATGAAAACAAGTTGAATACTTTGCCCTAGGTTAATGAGCTAGTGAAGAGCCATTTCAACAGGCAGGATTTCAACTTAGGTTTGCTGGACTCTAAAAAAATCACTCCCTAACCTTTGGTTTAAAACTCAGACCCTAAAATTACTGTGCACATAAAATAACATATGTAAATGAATGACTCAAAAGCACCTCCCACCCAACATTCCAAAACTGAACATATAATTTCCAGGCTTGGTTCTGTTAGGCAAGCCGGAAGGTAGGAATCAACCTCAAATATCCCTGACTCTTATGCCTCATATTTAATCAATAACAAACTTCTATCCATTTTGCCTCCTGTTTTTCAAGCCCGTTCAGATCTCTTTACTTCCATTACTACCAATCTGGCCCAAGCTATCTGTGGAATTATTTGACTAATGTTCCTTTTTCCTCACTAATCTATAAGTTCAGTGAGGGCAGAACCTAAGTCTTTCTTGTTCACTGTTATAGTCAGTTTTTGTCTAACGCCCAGAACAGAAGAGGTGTTCTATAAATGGCAGCTAGTATTATTTTGGTTTATTTGCTACTGTTCTGTGTATAAGTTTGTCTTCTTTTTTCTTTGGGACAGTCTCACTCTGTCACCCAGGCTGGAGTGCAGTGGCACAATCTCGGCTCACTGCAAACTCTGTCTCCTGGGCTCAAGCAATTCTCATGCCTCAGCCTCCCAAGTAGCTGGGATTACAGGCACCCACAATTACGCCAGGCTAATTTTTTTGTATTTTTAGTAGAGACTGCTTTTCACCATGTTGGCCAGGCTGGTCTCGAACTCCTGCCCTCAGGTGATGTGCCCATCTAGGCCTCTCAAAGTGCTGGGATTATAGGCATGAGCCACTGTGCCCAGCCATAAGTTTGTCTTTCCAACCAGAATGCAAACATCCTGAGGGCTGTTTCTTGTACTGCTTCCGTATTATACTAAGGTTAAGTCAGTGAATGTTAAGCAACATTATGTACTGTCATAATTAGAGTGTAAGCACAGAATTTTTTAGCCTGGTAGAGATTTAGAAATTAGCTAGGCCGGCCGGGCATGGTGGTTCATGCCCAGCACTTTGGGAGGCTGAGGGGGCCAGATCACTTGAGGTCAGGAGATCGAGAGCAGCCTGACCAACATGGAGAAACCCTGTCTCTACTAAAAATACAAAATTAGCTAGGCGTGGTGGCGCATGCCTGTAATCCCAGCTACTTGGGAGGCTGAGACAGGAGAATTGCTTGAACCTGGGAGGTGGAGGTTGTGGTGAGCCAAGACTGGGCCATTGCACTCCAGCCTGGGCAACAGGAGCAAAACTCCACCTCCGGAAAAAAAAAAAAAAGAAATTGGCTAGGCCAATCCCGTCATTCAACAAATAAAGAGTCTTCCCAACGTCATACCGTTAGTGGCAAAGTTTAGAGTGGAAGACTGGTGTTCTTGCTGCCTGAGACATCTAAGTTCCTTCCTTCTACTACCATTAGATCTGGTCTTTATAGGTCTCAGCTTGAGAAGAGCTTTAAGCCTTATCAATGCCAATTGAATTTTGCTCAAAGAAGGAGTTTGAACTAATGTGGAATCCAACTGGCTTTAAACGATAAGAAAGAAGTAAACTGTAAGTTACTGTAAGGCTGTAAGTTACCCTATTTTTTCCCCTAATTTTACTACTTTCCTAAGTTATAATTAGTCTCTTTCTCCAGCAAATTGAGCATATAGAATACTCAATTTGAGCAATGAGTATTGCTCATTGAGCAAACCATAAAAACATCTGAAAGAAAAATCTAAATAAGTAGCAGTCTACAGATTTTATGTAAACAAATTAATGAAATTAATATGTAATGACTATGGAAACCATTTCCATTATAATTTTCCCATCTCAATCTCTGTACACTGGACATAATAAAATCAGTGAATAATACAGCATCTTTAAAAAGCATGCTCTAATCTATAAACAAGGACAATGTCTTGATTCCAACAAAAAATAAACAAAGTGAATATATTTTAAATTAAGGTCGTTCATTCATATAAAAAAGCAAAAATTGTAATCAACCATACTTCTGTATAAATGACAGAAAACCAAGCCTTGTAAGTGTCAGTGCTTTCCTGCAGTTAACAGACTGCTCAGTTAAGAGTAATCTTCATTTTTTGTCTTACTAGATAAAGTCAACTAATCACTTTTAGGGAACAATTAAATGTGTGATTAATAAGAAGTCACTAGGATCCGGCCAACACACACAAGGCTCAGTAAAAGCCTACTTATGGCGGGGCGCGGTGGCTCACGCCTGTAATCCCGGCACTTTGGGAGTCCGAGGCGGGCGGATCACAAGGTCAGGAGACTGAGACCATCCTGGCTAACATGGTGAAACCCCAACTCAACTAAAAATACAAAAATAAAAAATAAATAAATAAATAAATAAAATTAGCCGGGTGTGGTGGCACACGCCTACAGTCCCAGCTACTTGGGAGGCTGAGGCAGGAGAACTGCTTGAACCCAGGAGGCAGAGGTTGCGGTGAGTCAGAGATCATGCCACTGCACTCCAGCCTGGGAAACAGAGTGAGACTCCGTCTCAAAAAAAAAAAAAAAAAAAAAAAAAAAAAAAAAAGCTACTTATGGCTGGGCTCGGTAGCTCACACCTGTAATCCCAGTACTTTCGGGAGGCTGAGGTCGGTGGATCACTTGAGATCAGGAGTTCGACACTGGCCTGGTGAACCCCATCTCTACCAAAAATACAAAAATTAGCCAGGCGTGGTGGCAGGCACCTGTAATCCCAGCTGCTCGGGAGGCTAAAGCAGAAGAATTGCCCGAATCAGGGAGGTGGAGGTTGCAATGAGCCGAGATGGTGCCACTGCACTCCAGCCTGGGTGATAAGAGAGAGACTCCATCTCAAAAAGAAAAAATTAATGTAAAAGCCTACTTTTCATATGCTAGGTGCTAAAGCATATACAGGTTAAAGAGGGAAATAAATCAAAATCATAATTATAAAATAAGGCAGAAATGATTAATGCCAAAAAAGAGAAGATCAGAGGATTAAAGACCCCAGAAACGCAAAGCACATCACTTTTGAATGCAGTGGATTTCCGGTGGCAGAACTTACCTTTAATGGACTTGACATCTGAGGTCTTCTCTTGCTCTTTGCCTTTCACTGGAATAAAAAAGATCACTATGACCAACTTTTGCAGTCAGAGATCCATTCTATAACACTGTTAAAATTAGACCAGCTTTATTCTAAGATGAGTATTCAAAGTTCTAGAACAATGGACAGCCTTGGAGGATGGCACAGGAGGGCAGCTGTCAGCAAAGGCTTCTCTAACGAAGTGACCCTGGAACAGCATCCAGTCAAAAGAGCTGAACCTGCTTACGCAGAGACAATGTAGTCACAACACCTGGGGTCAAATTTTGGCTCTACCACTTATAAGCCATGTGATCTTGGACAAGTTCCTTTACTTCTCTGGCTCTTAATTTCCTTGATTTATAAAAGTAGGTCAACAATAAAAACTACCTTAGAGGGTTGTTGATTAAAAAAAAAAAAAAAGGGACTTAGAAGAGTAACTACAGTAAATTTATGACAAATGTTAACCAACATTATCCTCCATAGTACTGGCTACTAGAAGCACAGTGAAGAAAGTTCTTTGGTTGTGTATCACATCTTCTTATTCCTCCCATACCACCAAGTACAAACATTCTAAACCTCTAACACTCAAAGTCTAACAATTTGTCTGTAAAATAATCATATAATTGCTCCTTTATTACACAAAACAGGAAAAACTCTGCTGTAGATAAGCTAATATGACATCCAAGAAAGGAGGCTGCCCAGCAGCTTAAGCCAAGTGTGAATTCTATTACAGGCTCTGACATAAGGCTGTTTTTAACCTTCTTTTCTTGTGATTTTTTCAACATTAAACTTTAAAAAATCTTACCATGAAAAGGTTAGCAAAATAAGAAATGCCAAAATGTGCCCATCTCTCTATTTGTGCTCTTAAACATTAAAAGGTGAAAGGCTAGTAGCAGTAAATAACTTGCCCTCAGGGTATCTGGCTGAAGTCAATCCATCAACAGTTGAGTACTTGGTATGTGCCAGCCAGGCTCCCAGCTCAGAAAAGGCAATGCTTTTGCCTTCAGAAAAGCAATTTACATTCAAGTGTGTGGACAATGTGAAAATAAGTAAGATCACTGCAGGTACTGATCACAGCTGTCAGGAAGACAACATTTAAAAACGCTGTAGGTTACTGGTGTTTGCAGTCCGCTCAGCAGCATCTGCCCATGGAATAAATCTCTCACTTGAAACATTAACTCGTCTTGGCTTCCTCGACTCCTCTCTTCTGCATGTACACATGTATTTCCTGGCTGATCTACCCATTCTTAAGGCTTACAATAACATAGATATGCTGTTACTCCTAAATTTCTATCTCCATCCTAAATCTTTTATCTCAAATTCATATAGCTAACCACACACCTGCCATCTTCCATAATTCCACTTGTCTAAAATGGAACATGTCATCTTTTCCCAAACCTGTTCCTACTCAGTCTTCATCTTCTCTCATGAATGACAGTGTCATCCACCCACTACTCAGACCAAAATTCTAGAAGTCATCCTTCATATGGTCTGTTTATTACCTTCCACATGCAAACTATGACCAACTGATTCTACTGTCAAGATACACCACCACAGTTCCACTTTTACCACCCTGAAAACATTCTCCTACTATCAATCAGATCTCCTGTGTTATATTACCATTCAAGTACACACAACCCAACAATCAAATATCAACATTTTGCTGTTTTTTCTTTTGTCCCCCTAAGTATTATACATAGAGTACAAAGTTCCTATGAATCACCACTTGACCCCTCCCTTCCCAGACATAAATACTATACTAAATTAGATATTTTCTGGCTGGGCGAAGTGCCTCATGCCTGTAATCCCACAAAGGTGGGAGGATCACTTGAGGTCAGGAGTTGGAGATCAGACTGGCCAAGGCAGTGAAACCCTGTCTCTACTAAAAATACAAAAAATTAGTTGGGTGGCGTGGTACATGTCTGTAATCCCAGCTACTTAGGAGGCTGAGGCAAGAGAATTGCTTGAACCCAGGAGGCAGAGGTTGCAGTGAGTGAAGATCACACCAATGCACCCCAGCCTGGGCGACAGAGTAAGACTCTGTCTCAAAAAAATAATAAATAAATTAGATGCTTTCCTTCCATGTAGTTTTTTGACTATTACCACATACAATTTTTTTAATTTTTATTTTTTTGAGACAGGGTCTTGCTCTGTTATCCAGGCTAGAGTGCAGTGGCCTGATAATACTCACTTGAACTTCTGGGCTCAATTGATTCTCTCATGCCACCATGCCTAATTATGCTTTCTGTTGTTGAGATGGGGTCCTGCTATCTTGCCCAGGCTAGTCTTGTACTCCTGGGCTCAAGTGATCCTCCTACCTCAGCCTCCCAAAGTGCTGGGATTACAGGTGTGAGCCACCACACCCAGCCAAATATATACATATATTTTTAAACGGTATTATTCTGTACATCTTTAAAAATTACACAAATGGCCAAGCATGGTGGCTCACACCCGTAATCCTACCAATTTGGGAGGCCAAGTTGGGTGGATCACTTGAGGTCAGCAGTTCAAGACCAGCCTGGCCAACATGGTGAAACCCCATGTCCACTAAAAATACAAAAATGAGCCACACATGGTGACACATTCCTGTAATCCCAGCTACTCGGGAAGCTGAGGCAGGAGAATCGCTTTAACCCAGGACCTAGAGATTGCAGTGAGCCAAGATTGTGCCACTGCACTACAGCCTGG